GCGCCTCTGGCTGAGAGGAGAGCCACCACGGCTCACTGTACCCTGGCGGCCTGCGCCTCTTGGGCACCCAGCCAGCGGATCCACAGCTGTCCCCACATCCCCATCTGTGACAGGGGTCCCACTGGCCTACCAAGTGGGATGAGGGTGTGACTGTCCTAACAGAGCAGCCCCAGGGTTGCAGCGAGGCTCAGCTAACCACTGCTCTGCATAAGTGGGGCTTCCCACCAGCACCACTGACTTTTAGAGAGGAGGGGGACGGAATGTGTGTGTGCGTGTGTGTTGTGTGTGTGTGTAGTGTGTGTGTAGTGTGTGTAGTGTATGTTTGTAGTGTGTGCGTGTGTGTATAGTGTGTAGTATGTGTGTAGTGTGTGTAGTGTGTGTAGTGTGTGTAATGTGTGTAGGGTATGTGTTGTGTGTATACTGTGTGTAGTATGTGTATTTGTGTGTGTAGTGTGTAGTGTGTGTTGTGTATGTAATGTGTGTAGTGTGTGTAGTGTGTGTGTAGTGTGCGTAGTGTGTGTTGTGTGTGTGTAATGTGTATAGTGTATGTGTTGTGTGTGTGTTGTGTGTGTAGTGTGTGTAGTATATGTATTTGTGTGTGTGTAGTGTGTGTGTGTGTGTGTATGTGTGTGTGTGTGTGTGTGGACTGGGACAGGAGGAGGCCAGGCAGGGGTCCAGCAGGGACTTGTGTGGGAATATGGCCTGGGAGCCAGGAAACATGGAAAACACAGGTCAAAGAGATATGAGCAACGATGAGCTCTGGTCCACCAGCTTAGCAACGAAGAGAGGAAAGGACAGGAAAACCCTGCATCTTACAGCATGGCAAAGGAAAAGGGGGGAAGGGAGCCGGGGGACAGGGAAGGAGCACACAGACAGGATGGGGGACAGTGCAGGGGTGAGGTCAGCACAGGGAGGAGGGCAGTGCAGGGGTGAGGTCAGCACAGGGAGGAGGGCAGTGCAGGGGTGAGGTCAGCACAGGAGGACAGTGCAGGGGTGAGGTCAGCACAGGAGGACAGTGCAGGGGTGAGATCAGCACAGGGAGGAGGGCAGTGCAGGGGTGAGGTCAGCACAGGGAGGAGGGCAGTGCAGGGGTGAGGTCAGCACAGGGAGGAGGGCAGTGCAGGGGTGAGGTCAGCACAGGGAGGAGGACAGTGCAGGGGTGAGGTCAGCACAGGGAGGAGGACAGTGCAGGGGTGAGGTCAGCACAGGAGGGCAGTGCAGGGGTGAGGTCAGCACAGGACGACAGTGCAGGGGTGAGGTCAGCACAGGACGACAGTGCAGGGGTGAGGTCAGCACAGGAGGACAGTGCAGGGGTGAGGTCAGCACAGGAGGACAGTGCAGGGGTGAGGTCAGCACAGGGAGGAGGACAGTGCAGGGCTGAGGTCAGCACAGGGAGGAGGGCAGTGCAGGGCTGAGGTCAGCACACGAGGACAGTGCAGGGCTGAGGTCAGCACAGGAGGACAGTGCAGGGGTGAGTTCAGCACAGGGAGGACAGAGTAGGGATAACACAGTGCAGAGGGCGAGGACAAGGGAAGGTGGGGACAGGGTGGCTGCAGGGCAGTGCCTGAGCTGGGACAGAGCAGGGGTGAGGAGAGGAGTGGGGTGGGAGGGGTGGGGTGGGAGGGGTGCCTGCTGCTCTGATGGGGGGTGGCGGGGTCTGGATAGCTGGGCTCAGAAGGCTGCCGTGGGGCCAGGGCGCGGTGCAGGCTGCGGCCGGCCGCCTGGGGTCCCCACTGACGCGGTCCACCGTGGGTCTACCGGAAGGACCTGCTGGTCTCTTCTCCGGTGAGCTTTCCCACAGGAGAATGTGGGATGGGCGGGCACAATCTTCTGTCTGGCAGTGGGAAGGGGCCCAGGGAGACTGGACAGACAGCAGGGTTCTGCGGTCAGTCAGGACACTGCACACACTTCTCATTGGGTCCTGTGCAGGAAGCCCCAACTCCTAAGCCCTCGTCTAAAAGCTGAGGCCTGCCAAGGGGTTTCGGCCAATTCCCCTGAACCTCAAGGCCACTCTTAACTGAGGACGGAAGGCCTGAGGCCACCACACCGGCCACTCCTGTTCTGCAGCTTCCTTGAGCCCAGGAAGTGGGGACAGGATCCAGCTCTCTCCGGCCATGGGCTTGGTGCCTCAGTGCTGTGACCAGCCACAGCGGGGCCTGGCCCACCACACAGGCCTCATGTCCTTGCCTGAAAATGGCTGCTGGTGACCATGCCAGGTCCCGTACCTGTGCCAGCACCAGCTCACACCTGAGCCACACACACCTGAGCCAGCTCACACCTGAGCCGGCACACACCTGAGCTAGCTCACACCTGAGCCGGCACACACCTGAGCCGGCACACACCTGAGCCGGCACACACCTGAGCTAGCTCACACCTGAGCCAACTCACACCTGAGCCAGCTCACACCTGAGCCAGCACCATCTCACACCTGAGCCAGCTCACACCTGAGCCAGCACCAGCTCACACCTGAGCCAACACACACCTGAGCCAGCTCACACCTGAGCCGGCACACACCTGAGCTAGCTCACACCTGAGCCAACTCACACCTGAGCCAGCACACACCTGAGCCAGCTCACACCTGAGCCGGCACACACCTGAGCCAGCACCAGCTCACACCTGAGCCGGCACACACCTGAGCCAGCTCACACCTGAGCCAGCACCAGCTCACACCTGAGCCACACACACTGCTGAGCCAGCACACACCTGAGCCAGCTCACACCTGAGCTGGCACACACCTGAGCCGGCTCACACCTGAGCCGGCACACACCTGAGCCGGCACACACCTGAGCCATCACACACCTGAGCTAGCTCACACCTGAGCCAGCTCACACCTGAGCCAGCACCAGCTCACACCTGAGCCGGCTCACACCTGACCCAGCTCACACCTGAGCTGGCACACACCTGAGCCGGCTCACACCTGAGCCAGCACCAGCTCAAACCTGAGCCAGCACACACCGCTGAGCCAGCACACACCTGAGCCGACTCACACCTGAGCCGGCTCACACCTGAGCCAGCTCAACCTGAGCCAGCTCACACCTGGGCCAGCACACACCGCTGAGCCAGCACATACCTGAGCCGGTTCACACCTGAGCCAGCACACACCTGAGCCAGCTCACACCTGAGCCAGCTCACATCTGAGCCAGCACACACCTGAGCCAGCTCACAACTGAGCCAGCACACACCTGAGCCAGCTCTCACCTGAGCCAGCTCTCACCTGAGCCAGCTCACATCTGAGCCAGCACACCATGCCAGCTCACACCTGAGCCAGCACACACCTGAGCCAGCTCACACCTGAGCCAGCTCTCACCTGAGCCAGCTCACATCTGAGCCAGCACACCGCGCCAGCTCACACCTGGGCCAGCACACAACGATGAGCCAGCTCTCACCTGAGCCAGCTCACACCTGAGCCGGTTCACACCTGAGCCAACTCACACCTGAGCCAGCCCACACCTGAGCCAGCACAAACCTGAGCCAGCACACTGCTGAGCCGGCACACTCCTGAGCTGGTTCACATCTGAGCCAGCACACTGCTGAGCCGGCACACTCCTGAGCCGGTTCACATCTGAGCCAGCACACCGCTGAGCTGGTGTGTGCCTGAGCCAGCTCACACCTGAGCCAGCACACAGCTGAGCCAGCACACCGCTGAGCCAGATCACACCTGAGCCAGCTCACACCTGAGCCAGCACACACCTGAGCCAGCACACCGCTGAGCCAGCTCACACCTGAGCCGGCATACACCTGAGCAGGCTCACACCTGAGCTAGCACACTGCTGAGCCAGCTCACACCTGAGCCAGCTCACACCTGAGCCAGCACACACCTGAGCCAGCACACCGCTGAGCCAGCTCACACCTGAGCCGGCATAGACCTGAGCCGGCACACACCTGAGCCAGCACACCACTGAGCTGGTGTGTGCCTGAGCCAGCTCACACCTGAGCCAGCATACCACTGAGCCAGCTCACACCTGAGCCAGCACACACCTGAGCCAGCTCACACCTGAGCCAGCACACACCTGAGCCAGCTCACACTGAGCCAGCTCACAATGCTGAGCCAGCTCACACCTGAGCCAGCTCACACCTGAGCCAGCACACACCTGAGCCAGCTCACAACGCTGAGCCAGCTCACAACGCTGAGCCAGCCTACACCTGAGCCAGCTCACACCTGAGCCAGCATTCACCTGAGCCAACACCAGCTCACACCTGAGCCAGCTCACACCTGAGCCAGCTCACACCTGAGCCAGCACACACCTGAGCCAGCTCACACCTTAGCCAGTGCAGCTTCCACTCAGACCACCCAGTGTAACCAGGTCCTCAATGAGTCCACACGGCTCCCCGGCTGCCCTGGCCTCTCCTAGAGCCCCCTTTGCTTTAGCCGCTGCACAAGAAGACACACCTGATTCACAGGGAGAAGCCAGGTTTAGGCGTTTGGTTGCCCACTCCCTGCTGCCCAACCCCCTACACTGGAGTGAAAATTCTCCCCCCCAAGCTTCATGCCCACCTGTCTTAGTTGGAAATGAGGTCCTGGCAGAGGTGATCACATCAATCGGGAGGTCACCCCTAAATCCAATTCTTGTGATCTCGTAAGAGGGAAATTTGGGAAACAGATGCACACAGGGCGGAAGCCCTGTGACTGGAGGCCAAGACTGGAGGGATGTGGCCAAGAGCCGAAGACGCCTGAATCCACCCTCAGGGCTAAGGAACACCTCCATTCCTGGGACTCCAGATGGTACAATGAAGGTCTGCAGTTTAAACCCCAGTTTGTGAAAAAGTAACTCTCTGAGGACACGAAGGACACTGACCCCAGCCCGACCCAGGAACTCGGTGTCCAGAGACTTGCTGTGGGCTCGCACGCTTTGGGGCAGCTGGGTCAGGACGGGGTCAACCCAGAGGGAAGTGTTCACACATTCGCCAGCCGACATGCCCACCTGTGCCAGGCTAGGGCCGGCCTGACGGACGCCTGGCTGGTGGGTGGACGCAGACACTGGGTGTGGGCAGAACCTGACCTTTATTCTCTGCGATAGAACCCGCCTGCAGCCCAGGAGGACCGCAGCTGCAAAGCTCATTCCTTAAGAGCAAAACCAAATGAGAGAAAAAATGTGTTCCCTCTGTCACGGCGTTGGAGGGTACTGAGCCTTCCCCAAAGCCTGGTGACCATCGCCGTCACCGGCCCATCCCCAGTGACACCCACACCAAACAGTTTGAAAGTGCAGGACGTGGCCGCCAAGGCATCTTCAACACGCGTTTGTTTCCTATGCACATTTCTTTTTTACAAAAAATATAATAACTTAGTTTGCACTTCACAGCATTTCCACATCGGTCTGGGCACCCGTGGCTGGGCCCTCCTGGGGTCAGGGCAGCTTGTACCTCCGAGGCTTGAGAACTAGGCCAGGCTGAGCCCCTGGCCTTCAGCGCCAGCCTGCGGCCCACACCAGGATTCGCGCGATGGCACATTAGGAGAGGGCAGAAAGCGCCCGTGGCCACCCTGCAGTCACTCTGTGCTGATCTCACAGGGGTTCAGCCCCTGCGCCTTTGCGTCCCTGTACATCCTTTGGAAGTCACTAAAGCGCGGGGCACAGCCAAGCCGGGCCTCTCCAAAGTGCACGTGGCCAGTAAAGAGGAAGTCTCCGGGCCCTGGCCGCACACCACATTCCAGCAGTGTTGTGACCAGGCCCTGCCAGGGGCCACTGCCCTCGGGAGCTGGCTGGAAAACCCTGCTCTTCTGCCGGTGGAGTCTGTTCACCTTCAGGTGGATGATGGACTCCTGGTGCTCTGGCACGTGGGTGACATCCTGGATAGAGCCACGGACCACTGTGGAGGAAGGAGAGACAGGTCAGCAGGTCTCCTGGGCAGGGCTAGTCATGGAGGCTCATGGCTCTGCACACATCCTGGGCCACCACAGGCCTCAGAAACCAGAAGCTGCACCTGAACTCTGCTAACGCTGTTGGGTGCTAGCAGCTCATACCCCGGATCCTCGCTACTCAGGAGACTGAGATCCAGGGGATCACCATTTGAAGCTAGCAGGGCTGAAAGGTCCATGAGATTTCATCTCCAAAAGCACTGGGCTGGAGGTGTAGCTCGAGTGACGGAGTGCCAGCCAAGTAAGCGTAAGGCCCTGAGTTTAGACCCCAGTCCTGGGGGATAGGACGCAGGGAGAATCCGCTGTCCTGATGCCGGCACCATGAGGTACCAGAGACAGCTCTCCATCGGGGCCATGGCTTGAGTCATGCTGCATACCTAGGCTGCTGATAAGAACAAGAAAACACACACAGTGGCTCACAAGACTCGGCGGCTCCGTGTCCTGTCAAATGACACAGTGCATCTCCCAAGACAAGGTTACAGGAAGGGACGGGGCAGGGTAGGGTCTACAGCAGGGCTTTCCTGCGAGGCCCCTGCCCAGCTCCTGAGCCCAGACAGGCATGGAGAGCAGAACAGCAAGAAGCCTTCTTCTGCCCGGGCTCTGGAGCTGGCCCAGGGACAGCAAGTCCAGCTGAGCACGGCCACCACCCCAGCAGGACAGCGAGCACTACCCTGCCTGTCCCAGGCTGGTACCTACGTGGCAGGCAAGGGGCCTGTGTCCCGCAGCTGCCTGGCGACTGCAGAAGGGTAGGGCCGGGCTCTGACCAGCACGGGAGGCCCACAGGACACCATTCACAGAATACTGCTAAAAGGACTCTGACCGTGAGCTCCTGGGCACAACCGAAGCATACTTGAGAACGGCTGACACCAACTCCAGCTCTCCCTGCCCTGGTGATGTGCAGAAAAGCATCTTTCCCTGTGATTACGAGGGGACCACGCATCCAGTGGCACCATGAGCCAGTGCCAGCCAGGGAAGCCTCCAGAGCCCCAGCTGGAGACCCTGCATGCAGATGGAGCCCTCCCTCCCCACCAGAATGAGAGGCGGGCCAGGAAGGCCTACTCACCGAAGTCGCTGGTGCAAATAGCAAGGAGGACCTCTGTGTCACTGCAAGGTCTGCACGGAGCTAAGGAGGAGAAAACAGAGTGAGGACACCGCTGGACAACATGAGCCCCAGCACAGCAGAAGGTGGCCACCAGGGCCTGCACGTGGCGCACAGCCACCACGGACACATCAGACCTCTGTGGCCAGCTCCAGCCCACCGGCGCTCAAGGGCACACCACAGAGGGACCCTGCCACACCAAAGACTGACTCCAGGGAACCCTTGGCCCTACCTGCCCAAAGAGCCAGCACTGCGGCCCTGTGACCATGTGCCCAAGAAGCAAGGAAGACTTCAGAAAGGAGGGCTCTGTGCCTACTCCCACCTACCTTGTTAGCATACTTGTGCCAGAGAGGCAACACCACCACTCACTTAGAAGCCACTTTTATTTGCCTGGCCCAAACTAAAAACCAACCCAAAGCCAACACCAACTCCAAGACGCAGTCTCTAGATCAGCCAACCAAGTCCCCCTCTCTAAGACTCCACACTCACTTCACCAACACCAGCAGCTTCCTCAAGAGTAGACATCTAAAGCATCAATGTGTACTCCTGCAGAGCCCCTGCGGCTACAACACAAAAGGAGGGTCCATTAGCTCCTGGTGCTGCTTAGAAGGACCAACAACAACATGGAGGTCCACAAAGAAGGTCATGAACCTGGAGGTCTCTCCTTGCCACTAGGCACAGGCCTCGGACTGGGGCCTCAGCTCAGCCCCTTCCCCAGGCTCTGCCTGGTCTCAGAAAGCCTTTCACACTGAGCTCTATGCGCAGAGCCCCCCGTGACCCGAGACCTGACTTCCTGCATAGCACCCAGCGAAGCTTGTGTCATCTCCGAAGAAGCCCCCTTGCCAGTCAGCCCCTTACACCGCACCCTCCGGGGATGGACGGCCTCCCCTGCCCTTTCCTCACCCTGCCGTTTACCTGCGTCCCCTGATGTGGAACAGAAACTCCAGCTCCACACTCTCCTGGAGACAGGACCTCCCTGTACTCCAGAGGAGAGCTGACAAAAACGCACATTTTATAGTTGCTCTGGTTTCAATTGCAAGGCCTCTGCCTTCTGTTTCTAGCTTAGGGCCCAAACTCCCTTGAGAGAAACTCTGGGGACTGGAATCTCAGTGAGACAAGGTCACCTTAGGGCTCCCAGGCCCTCAGAGAAGCCCACCGGTCAGCTCACGGGCTGGACAGCCACCTCCCCAGCTGGTGACGGGGTTCGAGGGACCCAGCTCAGCCCACATGTGGGCACCTCCATGTTCCTACACCAGCGAGAGCTCAGGGGCCTTCCAGGCTCTGAAGTTGCCAGGATCCGTGCGGCAGAGGAGACCAGAGACAAGGCCCTGGCTTTGCAGAGCCGTGGGCAGCCATAGCGCACGGTGGTACCCTGGGATCGTGTGTCCAGGGCCCCGGCCTCAGGTATTGCTCCAGCCAGCAAGGGCGGTGACTCCTGGGCTGAGCCTTGCTGACTCACCAGTTTCCCACCTGCCAGCACTTTGCTGTTATCAGAGAAAGGAAAAGCTGCAGAACAAGAACAACCTGCTGGCGTCAGTACAGCCTATCAGAGATCTGTGCCTGTCTCACCACAGCCCCCAACCCGACAATTCTCTCTGCGGTGTGGCCACGGCCAGCCCTGGAAACCTAGCTATGCCAACCTTCCACGTCCCAGCACACGAGCACCCCTTCCTGCAACGTTTGCCTGGGCGCACGGGGCGGGGATGCAGGGAGCAGGTCACCAGAAGCTGCGAGAGGTGGTCTCCTTTAAGCCGGAGGTGTGGCCTCTGGGCAGGCTGTTCACCTGATTGCTGGAGGGCCGTCAGTCAGGAGCCAGAGCACAGACCACTGCACGGGGTGGTCGGAGCAGGCAGCACTGCAGGCTCCAGGGCCTTCCACCTTGGATGGCATCTTGAGCTGGGACATGAGACCTGGGAGAGCCACCTGCCCTGCTGGCACCTGCCAGGTGCTCAGTGTCTACCACGCACGTGGGCAGCCTCAGCTGCACAAGGATAGGTCGGTGCCTAGGTTCACAGCAACCACAGCCCACCTGAGTGCGGCAAGCTGGGCAGATCCAGGGGTGCAGGCCGGGTGACACTACAAGGGAGGAGACAGCAGGCCCAAAGCACTTCAGGTTGTGGGTTAGCTGAGTCAGGTCGCGTAGCCAGGGCCCACACGAGGTCTGGAGCCCGGGCACAGCAGGCCTGGGAGCCATACACTCTGGATGAAGGTGTGGAGACCCTGCACTCGCACCCCAAGGGTGTTCAGCAGGCCGCGGGCCCTCTGGGCCTCGGTGTGCCGGTGCCACGGGCAGCTGACCCGTTCCTCTTCGGAGCCTCAGAGTGCAGTGCAACGTCGCAGAAACTCAGCGTGGACTCAGAAACGTGAATCCGAGCTGGGTTCACAAGGGCAGTGGAGCGTGCTGGTTGTGGACACCTGGTCTCACATCTCCTAGATGCCCAGGTAGATACATCAGAAATTACTTAGGAACGCGCATAACGTGAAACAAGCCAGGAGGAAGGCAAGTCAGAGGGACTTCCGGGAGACACCTGCCGACCCAGTGAGGGCAGAGGATGGGACGAGGAGGAGAGAAAGCACGGGCAGAATGGCTCGCAGGCCGAGGAAGCCAGCGGCCGGGCAGCACTGCGGAGCACAGCCAGGTGATTAACACACACAAGCCCCAAAGGGAAACTCCGCATGGCAGTACCCCGTGGGGCTCCCAGGGCAGCCAGTGACCGGTGACATGTGCAGCCGCTTTACCAGAGTGAGGTGAGATGTGGGCAGAGGAAGGCAGCCTAGCAATCTGAGACCCAAAGCTCTTCAATGTCACGGCACCTGGGTGCCACCAAAACACGAGGATAAACCAAGGACAGTCAGCCCCTGCCTGGAACCTGCATCCTGTGAAGGAAGCCAACGCCTCCTCAAAAGAGGTTTAAAATGAAAAGTCATTACAGGATAATTGCACCCGCCTGAAAGCAGTCCCTGAGACCAGGAAGAACTAAACAATCTGGAAGATTATTCCAGAGAAGCACGAGGCTTTGGGAAGAATGAACAGTGAGATTTCTCTTCTACGTTGAGGCCTGGCCACTAGCCCTCACTGCCACCGAGGCCACCCCCGATGGGACTCTGAGCCCCTGAAGGAGAACTTGTGCCAAGCAGTCTAAGAGGCTTGGCTGGTCACGCAGGCCCAGCAAGCAGAGCAGGTTTGCAAGGGGTTGGGAAGGCAGCACTCAGCTGCAGAACCAGCCCTCCCAGTAAGTCTGTGAGTCAGTGTAGGCAATGAAAATGTAAAGAATGCCAGCTTCCTGCCCCCTGCCTCTCCAGCCACTCTAAAATGCCACTGTCACTACAACCTCCTTCATCAGGAGTGAGCCGAGCCTCTCAAAATGCCAGCCACAAACCCCAGCACACAGCAGAAGTCAGGTCCTGAGCCGACACACAGCACTGCACAGCAGAAGCCGAGCTCCTGAGCCGACACACAGCACTGCACAGCAGAAGCCCAGCTCCTGAGCCGACAAACACAGCACTATACACAGCAGAAGCCCAGCTCCTGAGCCGACACACAGCACTGCACAGCAGAAGCCCAGCTCCTGAGCCAACACACACAGCATTGCACAGCAGAAGCCGAGCTCCTGAGCCGACACACAGCACTGCACAGCAGAAGC